TCCCCTTTAAACTGTTGCTGAAAAAGAAGCTGCAGACTAACCCTGACAGGCTCAGGGGAGGCCTGCGCGGTGGCCTCACAAACTCAGAGACCGAAAGTAAGCCCATGGGATGGTCCGAAACAAAAACTTCTCAACTAAAAGTGTGACCTGGTGGGTAGTCAGTCCCGGGCCTGCAGCTTCCTTGATAAAGGTCAGTCTTTACCGTAAGTGAGTCTGCTTATTGTCTTTCTGCATCTAAGATAACGTTCCCTTGGAATGTCAGAGTAATCCCCTTTTCCCAGAACCCTCAGGGCACAGGCTCCCACCAGGGCAGGAGCCCCGGGAGCCCCTTATTGCTATCCTGTTGCCCACATACCATCTCTCTGTGCTGTGAATGCTAGTTTTTAACTATCCCACACCACCAATGTAAAAGTATATGTTTACCTATTTTACTTTTTTTTTAAGATTTTATTTATTTATTTTTTTAGAGAGGGAAGGGGGGGGGGAGATAGAGAGAGAGAGAAACATCAATGTGCGGTTGCTGGGGGTTATGGCCTGCAACCCAGGCATGTACCCTGGCTGGGAATCAAACCTGGGACACTTTGGTTCCCAGCCCCCGCTTAATCCACTGAGCTACACCAGCCAGGGCTTCTATTTTACTTTTTATCCGACCTCAGAGATTCCCCCACTTTGCTTTCTCCCACCTCCTTAATCTATCACCGGTGGGTTTCATGTAACGCCCTTCCGCCTTCCCTTTTGATTCTGATGTATAAAATAAGTGGTAACACTGCCATTTGCTGAAGCATTTCTCAGTCCGTTGAGATTTTGCTTTCTGGCAATTGCCATCAGTTTGGCTCAAATAAACTCATAAACATTCTCTACAGGTCTGGATGTTTTTTTACATTGACAGAAATACACACACACTCACACACACACAACACACACATATATGTGTGTGTTGTGTGTGTGTATATATATATTGCCTGATTTTTAAAAATAAGAAACACAAATCACTGAAATAAAAAGAAAACAGTCATTACTTTTCTGATTCCTATGGTTCATTTTTCTAAAATGGTCGGTCACCTGATCCAGTACTCACCAATCTCAGATTCTGACTCAAATACCTCCAGCAGTCCTCACTCTCTGACCCTCTTCTCTGGGCTGTGTCTCTGTTGTGGGGGAAACATGATGCTCCAGGATGGGAGAGCCTGCCTAGGTCGCCCTTCCCCACAGTCATCAAGCAGGGGAGTGCAGGAACCTCCCAAGGACGTCAATAGGACGATCAGTGGCGCTAGGTCTTTTACCTAGAGGTGTGAACGGAAACCACTGATGCTGGGAACTCCCAGATGTGCTGTTGTTACGTGACAATGGTGTCACTCCAACACATGCAAACTAGATTTACTGGAAACAAGGCAGCTACACCACTAAGGCCTCTTCCAATGCCTCTTTCTTCCTCTCTCTCTTTCTCTGCATGCCCTCCTCCCTCTTCCCCTTCCTTTTCTCCCTCCCTCTCTTTTAAAGAAAGCTAAACGAACAAACCGTACCAGATGACTTGGAAGAAAGAAAGCAGGGTGGGCGTCTGGGTGGAGGGAGGGACGAGCGGAGAACTGTGAGAAGTACAGAATAGCCCGCATCCACAGTTCTAGCCGTCTTCTCTCCCGCGGAACCCCAGGACAGTATTGCAGTCATAACAAGCTTGTCCGACCGCTCAGAACAGCTGTCCCCGTTTTGTTTATTTCACAGCAGAAGTCAGTGGTTTCGCTTTGTGTGTGTCCCCACCCTGTCCTCCACCTTAAGGAGTGTGTACAAGAGCAAAAGCTGCAGCCACCAAATTTCACCAGGTCATCAGGTCAGGGATTACAGGGCACCAACCACATAGAGCGACCTATACAAGTAGCACATTCCTAAAACTAGATCCTGGGAGGTAGGATACTTTATGCATACATTCACAGTGCTTCGGGAGTTTGATTTTAATCCCTAACAGAAGCACTTGCTGTTTGGAAAATTCCCTTAGTAAAACAATGGACGTAGTCCGCTTCTACATAATGTACCAGCAGACATGACCCTTCCTAGAAACAGCAACTCGCACCCTGCTAAACACCAGTCCCGTGGGGCTCTCTACGGGGGAAGAAATACGTCCCCATAGACCATTACCTTGGGGAGTACTGCTTCTGCCTTCCCCCGTGAAGACACGCAGCAATCCATACTAACACGTCAAGGCTCTGAGAGGTTCCGCATTAAAACAAGCCAACAACAAAGCCAAATCTGTTCACTTTGTTGAATTAATTGTAAACCTATTTGATCATGGAGTCCATTGTTTCAGGTAACCTTCACCAACATTCCTTTAGCCTGATGGTCCTGTCTAATTAAAAAACTCCATTATCCTATGAGTCCATGAAATTAAAACTCTTTTAAAGCTTGGCTTCCTCGTCATGTAGCTTGTAGTTTAACGTGCACAGGCACTGTTTCTTGGCTATGAATCAGGCTCACAAAAGCCAGTAATAACACTCGGATACCCTTTGCTTATAGTTTCATGTCCAGACTTGAGAGATGTCAAGTCATGAGAAACCATGACTGTCCCATAAACACCATAAGCAATGTTCTAGATACTGGAGATGCAGTTCTCTATTTGACCCCACCTCCCCTAAAAGCCCCTCCCGGGTCTCTCATGATCACGTATCTTCTCCCAAACCTAACTTCCCCACCCCTTCTCGCTTTCTAAAGGTTACTGCTCAGACTCAATCTTTCCTATTTCAGTCTGAACTACCCTGTCAAGGGAACATCTGAACGGCAAGTGCAACATCACGGAGAGGAATAAAGAACCACCCCTAAGAGTGGCACTCAGTCAATGGGACAGAGGCTCAAAAAATCTTCTGGAAAGTATTTCAGAAATTAAATACTCATGCAACTGTTTACTTCAAAACCTACCTCTGAGTAATCTGCACTACAGTTACCAAGGAAACAAGAACAAGAGATCGATAATCTATTCACTTAACAAATGTTTATTGGTCACTTACTATGGGTCGGGTACCATTAGACATTGGCGATAAAGCAGTGAACCAAGTCTGCAACACTGTACTACAAACAATACCACAAAACAGACTAGAAAGTTCCACAATACTAACCCACATGATGACTCTGGAGAACACGGTTTCTAAATGGAAGAAGGCTGACTTTACGGAAAAGTTCAGAACCATCTCACGAGGTACGAGGGAAGTTTTCACACCCTGAGAGGGGCATCGGGAAGGCAACAGATAATTGATTTCATATCTATCGTTTCCTGGTGCCATGCTAGATGCTTTTCTATGTATATCACTTTTTTAGTAGGATAACATTGGAAGAATTATTTTATTTATTTTTTAAATCTTTTATTGTAATTTTTAATTCTCAGAATTATCCTTTGACTTAGGTTTTAACTTCATTTTATAGTTATGAAACTGAGACAGAGCTATTGCTCAAACTTTTGTAATATGCCTGACTCCAAATCCATACCTTTTACATAAGAACAGCGAGGTTGCACCTGGAACTGAACTCATGGCCACTTCAAAGTAGCCGGTCGAATACGACTTCACAATGGCAGAGAACAGATCCCTCAGAGAATGTGGGAGAGGAGTAGATGGCAACATCATATCAAGAATACGATGTTCACGAATTTGTAGGACTCATACTTCCCAATTTTAATATTTACAACAAAGCTACAGGAATCAAGTCAGTGGGTCCTGGCATAAAGACACATAGATAAATGGAATGGAATTGAAAACACAGAAATGAAACTCTCATATGTATGGCCAGTTCACTTTGGATAAAGGTGCTAACACAGTTCAATGGCAAAAATAGTCTTTTCCACAAATGGTACCGGGAAAAGTGGATCATTCACATGCAAAAGGAAGAAGGTGAACCACTACATCATACCATATGCAATAGATGTAAGTATAAGAGCTAAAACTACAAGATAATGCTCTTGAAAGAAAACATAGCGGTAAATTTTCCTGACCATGGATTAGGTCATCATCTCTTAACTATGACACCTAAAACAAAGGCAATAAAAGAAAAAAATAGTACGTTGTACCTTATCAAAATTTAAAAATTTTATGCTTCAAAGGATAACATCAAGAAAATGAAAAGACAACCCAAGAATGGGAAAAAATACTTGCAAATCTTCTATCTGATATGGGTCTAGTATCCAGAGAATATATAGAACCCTTACAACTCAACAAGGAAAAAAATCCCCGATTTTTTAAATGGGCAAATGACTTAAATACACCTTTCACTAAAGAAGACACACAAATGATCAAAAAGCACATGAAGAAATGTTCAACATCATTAACCATGAAAGAATACAAATTAAATAACCCTTAGACACAGACAACAGTGTGGTGATGGTCAGAGTGGTGGGGGGTATAAGGTGGAGGTGGGCAAAGGGGGTCAAAAATGGGGACACCTATAATAGTATCAACAATCAAAAAGATAGTATTTTAAAAGGTTAAAAAAACTACAAAAAGATACAGACAAGAAAACAACAGGCAGATAATGACAAGTGTTAGCAAGGATGTGGGGAAATTGGAACTCTCATACATTTTGGTGGGAATGTATATTTTGGAAAGCAATCTGGCAGTTCCTCAAAATGTTAAACATCGTTACCAGATGAGGCGGCAATTCCACTCCTAGATATGTACCCAAGAGACCTTAAAACACACGTCCAGACAAAAACTTGTACAAGAATATTCACAGCATCATAATAGTCAAAAAGTAAAAAAACCCAAGGGTCTATCAACTGAAGAAACAATAAACAAAAAGTGGAATATCCATATGTTATAAATTAAATGTCTGTGTCATCCCAACATGCACGTGTTGAAGTCTCATCTCCAGTGTGATGGTACTTGGAGGTGGAGCCATTGGGAAGCAATTAGGTCAGGGGGTGGAGCCCTCATGAATGGGATTAGTGCCCTTATAAAAAGAAAGCTTGCTTCCCCTCTCTGCCCTCAGCCCTGCGGGTTATGAAAAGATAGCCATCTACAAACCAGGAAGTGGCCTCTCACCAGACAATGGCTTCACTGGCCCTTGATCTTGGACTTCTCAGCCTCCAGAACTGTAAGAGATAAATGTTTATGGTTTAAGGCAACCAGTCAGAGGCAATTTGTTATAATAGCCCAAACTGACTAAGATACCATACAATGGAACATCATTCAGCTATAAAAATGAATAAAACATTGAGTCATACTAAGCATGGATAAACACTAAAAACATTGTGCTAACTCAAAGAAGAGGGATAAAAAAAGAGCCACATATTATATGATTCCATTGATATGAAATGTCTATTATAACCAAATCTATAGAGACAAGAATGTAGTGTTTGCCTTGGCTGAAAGTAGGGGGAAATGGGGAAATACAGGATTTCTTCTGGGGGTGATGAAAATGTACTGGAATTTGATAGTGATGATGATTGCACAATTTTGTGAGTGTACTAAAAAAAAATCACTGATTTACTCTAAAAGGGTAAAGTTCGTGGTATGTAAATTATATATCAATAAAAAAATTATCCTCTTCTAAAAATAACCTTTGATTCAAATAGAATCAGACACACAGTTACCTATCTTCTTCCACAAAAACCACTGGCACTGAGGTGAATCTGTTTTTGCAGAGTCAGATTTCTGACACTGAAATCTAGCCCTAAGATTCAAAGAACTATTCTGTGCTCTGAAATAGAGGAAAAAAGCTCCAATAAGAAATTTTGAGAGCTCCACCATGACTCCTTTAAAAATATCATACTAAGTTGAAAACAAATGAGTTAAATAATATCAGCACGGGAGCCTATAATTTCATATCATTTCACATAAAGCCTGAATATATATGCTCTAGAGGACTCATGGAAAGGAAAGAATGAAAGAGCAAAAGTCAGAGGTCAAAGTCAACTTCAACACGTGGAAACACCAATACAAATTATAATAAGACTCATCAACCCCAGCTGCCACATTAGTCATCACAGAACTCTCTAACAGATCACGGAGATTCCTCTTCATTTGAGAGGTTGCTGACAATCATACCCAGAAATAAAACACGGGGTCCTCCAAGATCTTGAAGGCCTTCTTCTGTCCTGGTAGGCGGTGCCCGCTTAGATCACTGAGGGCCTATTTCCAAGCAATCAGAGGTCTAATTAAATCCCTTACTAATTAAAAGCCAAATCTAGATGTGACGTTCAAATGACCTTTAAGCTCCAAAACAGTTGTGTGATCTTTGATCTGTATGCTTACTTTACATTTGGCAAAGGCCCACATTAAAAAAAAAAGTTACTACAACTCTGATTCTCAGAAATACCACCATGTAGGTTAGAATAGATACATGTACATACATAGTATTCACTAGTCAAAAGAACAGTCCAAACTGTAGTCAAATCAGAAAGAGAAATAGAGTAAGGACAAGTCATTTCAACTTCTGAAAGGTTACATTCCAAAACTAACAGCTATTTGAAACTCAAAACTCATTTTTTCAGAGCAATCTGTTAGGTTGTGGTCACGTACCGAGGGCATCCAGAAAGCCCTATGCAATGCACTTGAAGCAGAAAGCTGATGGCACTTCCAATAAGGGGAAATTGCCCTCCAAGTTCAACTCCAGAACACAGCTCAGAGCAGCAGTCCCCCGGCTACAGCACTGGGGAATGGGGTGCACACTCTCTGGTCCCATCATTTCCCTGTTATCCCAAAGGACCGGATAAACACAGGCCATGCCCCACAGTGGGAAGCCCACCCCACTGCCACTCAGACACTCAAACCCACCCACAAGGGATCCCTGAGGCTGGAGTGTCGATGGCATTTTGCTCCTCTCCCCAAATTCTAATTCCAGTAAATGTCTGCTTATATAGAAATGAAAACAAAGGAGTTCACATCATAGGATTTTTTTAAAAACTTTTGGTTGAAGTACAACATTCATACAGAAAGTCCAACTGCTGGATTTAAAAAAAAAAAATATCTTTTTCAGGGAAGATGCACAAAAAGTCATGACTTTTGGCAACTTCTAAATGTCTCTTAAGATCAGTACAGTCTTTTATTACTCTTATGTCCTCCGCCCAGTACCTAGCAGGCACCTGAAAGACATCTGTGGAATCTCTGGACCTTGAACCATTAGAATTGTGGACGTACTTCATTCTAAAAATACCCTAGAATGACTTACACACACTGTGATAGGGACTAACGGGATTGGCCTGGCCTCAGAAAAGGTATTGTTTAGGGAGAACTAGAAAACAGGTGGATAAAATGTTAACAAAAACTATCCATAAACCCTGAGTGTCTGGACTGTGTTGCGAAGGGCCCCAACAGAGCAGGTGAGGAGAGCAGGGCACAGCGCCAGCCCTGGTGTTAGAAAGGCAGGCTTGCCCTTGCCCCGGGGTGATCCCAGCGATTTGCCTCTTTGCCTCCTGATTTCCTCAACCAGGAAACTATTCTTGAAACTATTCTTGCCTGGGAACATTGTGTGGCTGAGTAACCAGGGTGGGAGGGAAATTGTTTTCAGTGAATACCTTGGTGCCTTTAGAATGTGGTTTCACAAACACGTATTGCTTATTATACAATTAAAGAAACAGACTGCATTTTGTGATTCATCATTACAATAAATCGCAGATGAGAGCTGGGAAGTTTGTAACAACACAGGCTGCCCTCCCTGGCCCACCCCCACCCCACCCTCTCCTCATCCCCTCCCCGGCTCTCCTCTGACCTGCACAGAGCCCCTGGCTCAGCCCCAGGCCTGCGACCTATCTCATTCTAGCCTGACCACCTGGTTCTGATGTACAGCTTTGCTGTCAGCCCCACTTCAGGTTTTCAGGTCAAGGATCTCTCCCCCTCCCCCACCCCCCTACAACCTCCCACCCCTCACCAACCCAGAGCTTCTGGGGAAAAGTGATGGATTTTCCTCCTTTCGGAAAACCACAGGGTTTCATTCAGAGTACAAAGTAAGCTAATTACCTTAGGGTCAATACAAAAAAAAAAAAACAAACAAGCAAAAAAAAAACAAAACAAAGGGCAGGATTGAATAAGCTTTAAGAGAAGAGCAAAAGAAAAAGAAAGAGCAAACATGTAAGTGTGACCCTCCGAGATTGTCTGCAGTAGAGCTCACTACCCCCAGCCCCCCTACTCTCCCCCCACCACACATACAGTTTCAGCAATGGGAGCAATGAAGCAAAGTCACCTTCCCCTTAGGGACAGCAAATCTAATCCTAGAAGATGCTTTCCATCAATTATGGTAGGTCCTCTAGCAAGAGAAGGTTTTTGCTAATCTCAGCTTTCTTGAATAGGCCCACAAAACAACACCAGCCCCACTTGCCGACTTATCTCTGCGGAGTGAAACTCATCAGCACTGGGCTCAGGACTGGGCCCCAGGCACCTGGAAGGGGCACCTCTCCACAGCGCCTTTCTCTCTGAGCACCAGCCCCTCCCCGTGCTCCGCCCCTCCCCGCCCTGGTTACTGGGGTGACCCAAAGCAAAGGCAGACACTGCACTGAGGGAGCTGAGCCAAGCAGATTCACTTTGTCCAGAATTTGTAAGAGACACGGGGACAGAGACAGGCTCGTGACCACGGAACTGAAGGGGACAAGTGGGGCTACGGTGAGGAGCTGTTTTTAGCCGTGTGCAGGGGAAGCAGAGATAAGAGAATGGGAAAGCAGGGCAGGCAGGCAGAGCGGAGTGAGAGGCAGGCAAGGAGAAACAGCCCACGGACTCAGAAACGCAGAGTGAGACACAGACAGACAGACATCAGACACACGAAGACAGACAAAGCAGACGGAGAGGCCGAGGGGCTGGGACACCTGGCAGGGGGAAGGGAGGACTTGACAGGTTTGCACCAAGTCTGAGGCCCTGACAAGTTCCAGCTGCGCTTCCTGCCGCCCTCCCTGCGGCCCTGCAGCTGCCCCTGCATCAGTCCAACAGCTTCCTCCCTCACCTGACCCAGGGGCAGATATTATTGTCCGCATATAAAATTAGAAAAGTAATTTTAAATATCAATACCCTGCCCGGGCCAGGTGGCTCAGTTGGTTGGAGCATCATCCCATACACCAAAAGGTTGCCGGTTCAATCCCTGGTTATGGCACATACAGGAGGCAGCCAATCGATGTTTCTGATGTGTCTCTCACCTATATTGGTATTTCTGTCTCTCTCTAGAATGAATAAACACACCCTCAGGTGAGGATGAAGATCAATCAATTAATTAATTAATTTAAATAAATATTTGGGAAACCAATTTAGCAATTGTTATCAAAATGTTCTAAAATGTTGTTATCCTCTTACTTAATGCCCAGCACTAGAGGTAAAGTTAAGCAAATTTGTCTAGAATATATTATTTTATATCATGAATAATACTGCCTCTAAAAATATTTATGAAGACTATAACATGTAAATTGTTCATGTTAAAAGAAAAATGCTAGCCATGACTGATGTGACTCATTTGGTTGGGCATCGTCCTACAAAGCAAAAGGTTGCTGGTTTAATTCCTGGTCAGGACGCATGCCTGGGTTGCGGGTTCAGTTCTAAGCCGGGGTGCCTACGAGAGGCAACCGATCACTGTTTCTCTCTTGCATTTGGTGTTTCTCTCCTTTCTTTTTCCCTCCCTTACCCTTTCTCTAAAAATGAATTTTAAAAATCTTTAAAAAAAGGAAAAATGCTAAATATAAAAGTACATAGAACTATGTAAAAAGTATATTGAAAATAAAGATCACAGAAAACACCCAAAGAGATGGTTACATTTGGGTGGCAAAATAATGGGAATTTCCGCCTTTTTTCTTATTAATTTTCTGTACTTTCAACATTGTTAAAAACAAAAATATATTCGAGACATATTTAATCACTTGAAATAAAGTGAGAGGGGAAAAAGTAGTGGTAGTCTACCACCTTTCATGTTTGTACCTGTTCTTCTCATGTTGCGACTTTGCTATTATTATAGTACCAAGTATGGATTCCTACACAGAATTACTAAATACAGGATTATTAAATATGACTAAATATTATTACTAAAATTACTAAATTTATTACTAGAATTACTAAATATATGTATGTTATCTCTATACACACACACATATATGTATATATATATGTATGTGTGTGTGTG